CCCAGCTGCTGCTGGGAGTAGCGATGGGTATCACCTTGAACAGCTCCTCTCTGTGGAAACCAAACTTAACCTATTGCCATAGCTCACCTCCAGTTTTGAACCTTGGCAAAACCGGATCTTGAAGAAAATAATAATAAAGTGCAATTAAAATAAATTAACCCTGTTGCATTAGTTCTTTCACTTTAGCAAGGCAAGAAGGGGAGGGGTATTTGTGTGGTTCTGTACGCCAAAAACCGACTCACCATTTATAGGGCACCTTAGGTGCTTCACGTACATACACCCAATATGTTAAGAATTAACACCAGTCCTGTGAGGGAGGCCAGTATTAGTAATCTCTTCGTATTGCAGGTCCGGAGGCTGAAACAGAGAGTGGCTTGCCTAAAGGTTGAATGGTGAACTCAGGATAGGCACAAGGCGGTGCCTTGGTCCTCATCTCTGATACAAAACTACAAAGTCTATACAAAAGTAACAAATGTGGTGACAGTAATAATAATGCAGCAAAACAACACCACCACAAACTGGCTTAGAAGTATAAAACCAAATTTACTAGAATAATAACTAGAATAGAGCTAGACTTGTAACCATTCAAGCAACAAACATACTAAGGTGCCATGTGCAAAACAAAGCCTGGAGATACTGTAAACATGGAGTGGATAAATGTACAACTGTATCTTAACAAGTTGCATGTGCAATAAACGTTACACAGACTGAATAAATGAACCGTTCAACAAGTAGCATAAGTCCAATCAGAGAACGGCAACCCTGTGCCGCCACAATGGCAAGGGTAGCACACTGGAGAATATGAAAAAGTTTTTCAAAGCTGTTCTTCAATAGGTCTTGAGTTGAAAACACAAAGCCGTTTGCATGGATCAATCACAGGAAGGCAAATCAAAGCCACCACCCTGGTGAGAATAATGCAAGTGGGCAAAAGGAGACCTGTTCTCCGAATATATTACAGGTTTCGCTACACGCTTCATCAGTCCGAAAAAACAGTCATAGAAAACGGTTTGCTCAGGATAAAGAAAGTATTCACAGGCACAGCGTGTTGTGAAACACCTCGCTCTTCCCCAGTTCCCGTTTACCGTGATTGGGCATGCTCCACTGATGCAGAGCACTTTCCCTCGACCCACCACTGAGGGCACCACACCGGAAGTCTCATATATAAAAACATAAAACATTACTTTTTTAAAAAACTTCCCTATAGAGGACTGCCTTCAGATGGCTCAGGGGACGGATAACTCCATAACCTCCAACCTTTCTCCATTGAAAATAGGGACATCCTAAGGAGAAGTGGGACACTCCAAGATCAAATCATAAACCAGGATGGCATCTTTAAATCAGGAACATCCCTGGTAAATATGGACACTTGGAGGGTCAGCAACCAGTGCCATTTTTCTAGAAAAAGATGTGCCAGAACGCACCGTGAACACCTCCCTCATTCTCTTAGAATGGCAATGGTACCCAGAGCTAGTGCTCTGCACTCTGGAGCAGGGCTAGCTGCCCGTGGGGGTGGGGCTAGCCACCTGCAGGGACAATGTGAGTGTCGGGGGGGTGGCGGGTGTCCCAGGGAGGCATGGCGAGTATCCCAGGGAAGCGGCGTAGTGATGTTCCTCCACAGGGATGACACCCAGGGCAGCCCGCACCCACATACCCCTTCCTCTGCCAGTGATAGCGCCCACCTGAGATGTGCCAGAACTGAGTTCCAGCAAGTTCCAGCTGAAAAAAGCCCTGCTTCCAACATTATAATTATCGTACCAAAGAGCTTCGTAGCTTCTCTCTCTTTCACATACCCCACCTGTCACACACTCCAAACTTACATAACAGCAAAGGTTATTCCCCAGGGTTGCCAATTCAGGAACATTCCAGACCCTTCCATTTCAGGTGTAACAGGGAGTCCTTGGAGCACCCCACAATCACCCAACCCTGACTTCTATAAGTTCAGGTCGAGCGTCACAAGCAATAGACTTTAGCCAGGTGATAGAAACAAAACAGCAGCCAGTAGGCCTGATCTTTCTTGTTGCAACAAGGCTTCCCACTGCCGCAAAGACAAAGCAGCCAGAAGCCCCCATCAATGGTTACATCCGTATGTTAAAGTTTCCCATAAAACATCTCAGGATGCATCATCAAGACATCATAGATCTGTCACAGAAAAGGTGTGGTCTCAGGTAGAACCTGAGATCCAGCCATACCCCTGTCACGCAAATATACTCTTTCACACTTACTCCCATTCCAGTACCAAGGAAAGTATTTACAGCTCCTTGGTCCCTGAGTCAAATCAAATACACCCCTCTGTCTTGTCCAGCTTCATCCCACTATAGGATGGATAGGCATTGTGACTGAGGTGGTTGGATATCACTGGCCATGACTCCTTGGGAAGGCCCTGCAGATGTGTCTGTACATCTCGGGGATTAGGTGGGCTCACTCACCCCTCCCCTTATACCTCACTTCCCTGGGTCCTAAATGCCATTGGAATGGAGAAGATTGATACCATGAGTGATTTCCGATGAATTTCTAAAGTTTTCCCATTGAGCCAGTGCATAAATACATTTATCAGTGAATCGCTCCCAACCCCTTCTTTCCTGCTCCCAAGAGCTGGGACTCATGATTTTACAGCTTTTAAATGGAATTATGTATTGACAAGACACTGGCTTTTTCTGCCATCTATTAATTCCAACTCTGGGGAGTCCAACTCTCCCTCCACCCACACTTTTTCTATGTCATGCTGGAGGAATATGTTGACCTGACTGATATTTTGGGAAATGGTTTGCCCATTTACCCTCTATACAATTGGAGAACTCTCCATTTATAATACTAAACTTGGCATGAGGGTTCCCAGGGTGGGGCGGCAGACCTTATTGCTGTTTGTATGTTGGGTGCCATTTTGAATCAAGATGGCAGACTGAAATTTCAGTTTGGCATGACTTTGCCCGTTTTGTGGCATATGTTCAGCCACAAGTAGGGATATGATCGCTAGATTCAGCTCAGGAGTGCTCAAGGTGTGTGTGTGGGGGGGGTCTTCATTGATGTTTGGATGTTGGGTGCCATTTTGAATCCTGGACAGTACCTGTGTGTGTTTTATTAGTGTGGGGGGTGTTAGAGGAGAGGTAGTACCTTTGGTGGAGGACACACCATGCTCCTTCGGTGGTAGTTTTCTCAGCGAGCCAGCCAGAAAGAAATCATATGGATTAAGTGAAGTTAACTCTTTATTAGAAGAAAAAAGTCCTGCTTGCTCCCTTCATCAGAGCAAGGAGTTAGACGTGCTCTTTTGAGTGAGTCAAGTCTGAGGCCTTCTTCTGACATTAGAGTTGCTGAGGGATAAAAATAATTATGCTCTCCACAGTCCCAAACATGGTTAGAAGCCTACAGCTTGCTTTAGTTCTGCACTTGCCGGGTGTGAACAGAGAGCCAAAACAAACCTCTGTCTTACCTTTCTGGCTCTGAGCTGGAGGAAGATGATGCAGGTGCAGAGACAGGGAAAGATATCACACCCGTGCATCTTTGTCCTTCATCTTACTCCATCTTCCAGTGGTGCAGCAGGCTCTTTGTAGCAAGGGCATGTTCTGGTGACCACAAATTTTGAATTGGCTACCCAGGTTACACAAGCTTTACAAGCTCGTTATAAGACATTGTAGAAAAATCAGCAGTGCTTCACTGATTCCTGGAACTTTCTTGAAATGTAGGCTTCAGCTGCAAACATTACTGGAGCAGTGTGTGGGAATGAAAGGCACACCACTTGTTCAGTGAAAGAATTAACCTCAAGAGATGATCCCAGAGTTGGATTATTTTCTATGACATGTCATGGGTGTTTAGAGTAAGATGCATCACCAAACCTCTTAAATCTGACATTATTTTTGCATTCAGGTACCTCAAAGCGACTTACACAGTAAAGCAACTGAGGGTGTGAACACACTACATTGTCAAAGCACGCAATTCCCCCTTACCACAAAAACCTCTTAAATCCCACATTATTGGCTACAGCAGCTCAGTTTCCTCTTCAGCTATTTGTCCGATCTAACCAACATCTGTTCATCAAAAAAACGAAGATCATGGCCACTGGTCCCATCACCTCCTGGCAAATAGAAGGGGAAGAAATGGAGACAGTGAGAGATTTTACTTTCTTGGGCTCCATGATCACTGCAGATGGTGACAGCAGCCACGAAATTAAAAGACGACGAGATGGTTGGATAGTGTTTTCGAGGTTACCAGCATGAGTTTGACCAAACTGCGGGAGGTAGTGGAGGACAGAGGTGCCTGGCCTGCTCTTGTCCATGGGGTCATGAAGAGTCGGACACGACTAAACGACTAAACAACAACAACAAAATCAACATCTGTTAGGATTTGAATGAGTACAAACAATTTGAACCTGCTGTTTCTGCTAACAGTGATATCATCCCCACAAAAACGGGGAAAATTAAGAAAAACCACAGACCACTTTTTATGTATGAAACCACAGCAGCCAGGATTTTAATAGCAAGGAATTGGAAAGGTGTTGTTATAAATGCTATAACAGTGATATCATCCCCACAAAAACGGACTGGCAAGCAAAAATGATAGAAGATCTACAACTTGCCAGAACAACAGGGAGAATAAGAGGAAATTCAATACCAAAAGTTAATCAAGATCGGATAACATTTAAGGAAGATCTTAAAAATTAGTGGCGACGTTAATCTCCTGGCAGACCTAGAATGAATCTTGGAATATGGAGAATGTACATAGTAAAAGTTTATGGATATTAAACGAGAACGCTAAATAAGAAGAAAGAAATGTGTTTTGCCAGACCAAGTGTAAATAGCACAATGAGAAGAATCGGAAGGTAGCTACCTGCGCCTTCCTCGCCTTCTCCTCCTTCCCTCGATCTCCTCAGACGCGTCCCTTCTTCGCCCGGCGAGCGGAGGCGCCACCTCATTGGCCAGCCTCGAGCGAGCGTCACCCGCCCTCCCGCCTCCCTCTCCCAGAAACCAGCTTCCCATTGGTCCAGCCGTGTCCCCCTCCCTTTCCGTCAAACTTAAGAGTCCCGCCGCCAAACTCGCGGCAGCGGCAGCAACAGCTGATCGCTCGCTTCCCCGTGGACGCGTTTCTTCCCTCCGCGTGGAAGTTTGGCCCGTTTGGGGACCGCGAATGCCGCCGGCCGCTTTGGCTTGCTAGTTTCGCTTCCGCAGCCCCGCGCTTGCGCCATGGCAGAGAAGTTGCAGCCGCGCGCCTTGCGGCTCTCGCCTCCCGGCTTGGGCTTAGCCGAGGGGCGCGGGGAGCGAGGGGCCGTCAGGATGTCGGGGGACATGGATGAAGAAGACGAGGCCTTCCAGCTTCCGACGGGAGGGTGAGAATGCGGCGCCTCTCTGCGTGGGGGGAGATGCGGGGTGTGCGGGTGTCTTTGGGTCGGCGTGAGGGGGCGGGCCTGTGTGAGGGGACCATAGCTGTATGTGGGGCTGGGGCAGCATGTGGGTCTGGGGCAGCATGTGGGACTGGGGTGGGTGTGAGGCTGGGACTGTATGTGGTTCTGGGGCTGCATGTCGTTCTGGGGCTGTATGTGGGGCTGGGGCAGCATGTGCGTCTGGGGCTGCATGTGGGGCTGGGACTGTATGTGGGGCTGGGGCAGCATGTGGGACTAGAGCTGTATGTGGGGCTGGGGCAGCATGTGGGGTTGGGGCAGCATGTGGGGCTGGGGTGGGTGTGGTGCTGGACTGCATGTGCTTCTGGGGCTGTATGTAGGGCTGGGGCAGTATGTGGTTCTGGGCTGCATGTGGGACTAGAGCTATATGAGGGACTGGGGCTGTCTGTGGGGCTGAGGTGGGTGTGGGTCTGGGACTGTATGTGGTTCTGGGGCTGTATGTGGTTCTGGGGCTGTATGTGGGGCTGGGGCAGCATGTGGGACTAGAGCTGTATGTGGGGTTGGGGAAGCATTTGGGACTAGAGCTGTATGTGGGGCTGGGGCAGCATGTGGGTCTAGAGCTGCATGTGGGGCTGGGGCAGCATGTGGGACTAGAGCTGTATGTGGGGCTGGGGTGGGTGTGGGGCTGGGACTGCATGTGCTTCTGGGGCTGTATGTGGGGCTGGGGCAGTATGTGGGACTGGGGCTGTATGTGGGGCTGGGGTGGGTGTGGGTCTGGGACTGTATGTGGTTCTGGGGCTGTATGTGGTTCTGGGGCTGTATGTGGGGCTGGGGCAGTACGTGGTTCTGGGGCTCCATGTGGGGCTGGGGCAGCATGTGGTACTAGAGCTATATGTGGGGCTGGGGTTGGTGTGTGCAGACTTGCGAAGGGTGATTCCTAGCATATGCAGAGGGCTTTGTCTGCAAATACGTGCTGTTAGGCGCTGAGAGATAGGCGAAGTTTAGCAGAGCTAGGCGTCTTTGAGCCAGCAAGGTTCCTTATCTCTCTTTTTCCTTCTTTCTGTCTCTCTGCCTCACAGCGTTGCTTGTGAGGATGAAATGGGCGGGGTTTCGTCCAGCTAAGGATGAAATGGGAGGCGCTGGCTTGCATCCAACTAAGCTACGTGTTGGTTATGCCCGCCCATTTCAGTGGACCTACTCTGGGCAGAGCCAGCATTGAGCTGAAACCGAAGTGCCTTGTGTTTTCACTGTTTCTTACATGCTTAGCTTTGGAGCATGCAGTGGCTAAAAAGTTCGCCTCTCATGATGATTGGGTGCGTGCGGCAGGGACCACTTCTTCTGTGCTAATGTTACACTGAGAGAGAGTCACAAAGTGAGCTTCATCTCCAAGTGAGGATCTGAACCCGGATCTCCCAAGTCACAAGTTGGCATTCTAACTCCTGCCCTAAAGTGGGTGCCAGTAACAGGACTGAATGGAGGTGTTTTGTGGTCTCAGATTCCTTTTACAAAAGGAAGCCTAAGAAAGATTTCTAGTGCCCTAGTTTACACTGTGACATTTTAGGTGTTCAAAATAAGGGCACTGCACTGCTGCTTTTGGCAACGCTGGCAGTGAGCAAAGGTCGGAGTGACATATAGCCAGTGGGAGTTGTAGTTCAGAAATTTATGGAGAACTGCAGATCCCCCCCCAATATTCAAAATATAGTCCGGCCCCCCACAAGGTTTGGGGGACAATGGACTGCCCCCCTGCTTAAAAAGTTTGCTGACCCCTGACCTATGTCTTCCCAGAATGTCACTCTCCCCAGAAGGGGAAGCCAAGCTCACAATCTCTGTTCTGCTCGCTTCTTTTGGGAGCCCCTCAAACATGCATGTTGCCACTTGTGGTTTTTCTCTAGCTGTTTGGGGTGCTGTCAGGCATTTAAAATGGGCACTTCACCCCTTGGATATTTTTGCTTGCTGTTCAGTATAGCATGGAGTTTGGGGCTAAGGCTGGAGATTTAATGTTTGAAGATACTTGACCTTGGTATGTTTGTGTTGTCTGGCAGTGAATCTCTGTATGTGGGGAAAGATAAACGACAAGGGCAGGGCTTGTATCTTTGCAATACAATAGTACTTCGGGTTACATACGTTTCAGGTTACAGACTCCACTAACCCAGAAATAGTACCTCAGATTGAGAACAGAAATCGTGTTCCGGTGGCGCGGCGGCAGCAGGAGGCCCCATTAGCTAAAGTGGTGCTTCAGGTTAAGAACAGTTTCAGGTTAAGAACAGACCTCTTCAACAAATTAAGTACTTAACCCGAGGTATCACTGTAATGGATACCTTTTAAATTTTTGTTTTGTTTACAGTGTCTTCCGGACATCTGTTCCAAAACCAAAGCATTCCAAAACCAAGGCGTACTTTCCTATAGAAAGTAATGCAAAATGGATTAATCCATTCCAGACAATTAAAAACAACCCCCAGAATAGCAATTTAGCATGAAAATGACTATCTAATTAGACAATTGATCCATCAAATGAAAGCAATAGACCAGGCTGCTATCTGCTACCCAGTATTAAAAACTGGCAGTGATTTACCCATTGCCATTTGAGGGATGGGTACACGAGGTGTGTGATGTGGGAGTTCCAGTGGCGGGGGGGGGGAGGGATGGAAAGGAAGGCAAAAGTCATCTGTCTGAGGAGCCAGTTGGCTTCTCTCCCTTCCCCCATGCCAGCCTTTCTGGACCCCCCCCCCCCCGCCACTTGGGTGTGTAAAGAACTCTTACTGCAGTGGTGGCACCAGCATCCTGTCACGGCAGTCACTTCTGGGCCTGGATCGGTGGCAGTGAAAGCGGAGAAGGAAGGTCGCTACATCATCAACGACACCCTTCTCTGCCTCCAGATTTCACTGCCGGCACCAACTGAGGGAAGGCCGTGCCGAGCAGGCAGGGGGTGTCGCTGCCACCCTCTGGGTCCCTCTGCCACCGCTGTCCTTGCAGCATCAGCCACTCCCTCCTCCACTTTTGGGTGTCGCCAGTGGCTGGTGCAGATGGCGCTGAATAAGGGAAGCCCAGGTCAGGCAGCAAGCAAGCAGGCAATGGAATTGTGGCACTCAAAACAAAAGTGCAACCCCCCCCCCAACGAAGTAAGTTCAGATGCCAAAAAAAGTTTGAAAACCTGAACACTCATTTCCGGGTTTGAAGCATTCGGGTTCCAAGTAGTTTGTGAACTAAGCTGTTCAAAAACCAAGGTACCACTGTACTAGGTTCTATAAAAGCTTGGGTGCAATAATTGGGCAACGGCCTTTTCAGTTTTAGGGACTTTGTAGTTTAGACAAAAAGCAAGTAAGAGATAATATGATAGAAGTTTATCAAATCAGGCATGGCATGGAGAAAGTGGATAGGGAACAGTTTCTCTCCCTCTTGTGAACATCCGATGAAGCTGAATGTTGGAAGACCTTCAGGAAAGGCAAAAGAAAGTACTTTCTCACACCATGCACAGTTAAACTACAGAACTGTCCCACAGGAGGCAGGAATGGCCACCAACTTGGGTGACTTTTTTTTTAAAAGATATTTATTAAAGTTTCAAAATGTTACAAAAATAAGAAAAAGAAAAGAAGAAAAAAGAAAATACAAAGTACAGAAAAATAAAAACAGTTAAAAACAAATCAATCTTTCCATATCTTGTCTTTCGTTTGCTTGTTTCCCTGACCTCCTCACACCTCCCTTTTTTGTATTCCAGTTCAAATAGTTAATTCAGCAAATCCTTTCCCTCTTTGTTTTTATCTTAATCCTTTATCTTAATATATTATAACTTTAGATTATCACCTGTTAACAATCCATTTTTACATATTCCTTTATAACATTGCTGCTAAAAACCACTTAATTTCATTCCGACATCATTCTAACATTCATTAATTTTGCAGTATTTCTGTAAATAGTCTTTAAATTTCTTCCAATCTTCTTCCACTGACTCTTCTCCCTGGTCTCGGATTCTGCCGGTCATTTCCGCCAGTTCCATGTAGTCCATCACCTTCATCTGCCATTCTTCCAGGGTGGGTAGATCTTGTGTCTTCCAATGCTTTGCAATACGTATTCTTGCTGCTGTTGTAGCATACATAAAGAAAGTTCTATCCTTCTTTGGCACCAATTGGCCAACCATGCCCAGGGGAAAGGCCTCTGGTTTCTTCAGAAAGGTATATTTAAATACCTTTTTTATTTCATTGTAGATCATCTCCCAGAAAGCCTTAATCCTTGGGCACGTCCACCAAAGGTGAAAGAATGTACCTTCAGTTTCTTTACATTTCCAACATTTATTATCGGGCAAATGATAGATTTTTGCAAGCTTGACTGGTGTCATGTACCACCTGTATATCATTTTCATAAGGCATTACATGCCGTGAACTTCATAACTGTGGTCCATAACTGTTCCCAGTCAGCCATCATTATGTTAATGTCCAACATCTTGTGCCCATTTAATCATAGCAGATTTCACCGTTTCATCCTGAGTATTCCATTTCAACAGCAAGTTATACATCTTTGACAGAATCTTAGTTTTGGGATCTAACAGTTCTGTTTCCAATTTTGATTTTTCCACCTGGAAGCCAATTTTCTTGTCCAAATTGTATGCCTCCATTATCTGATAATAATGAAGCCAATCTCGCACTTTGTTTTTTAGTTTTTCAAAGCTCTGCAATTTCAATTTATCTCCCTCTTGTTCCAAAATATCCCAATATTTCGGCCATTTGGCCTCCATATTGAGCTTTTTCTGAGTCTTCGCTTCCATCGGTGACAACCACCTTGGGGTTTTATTTTCAAGTAGGTCCTTATACAGTGGTGCGTTCCGCAAGTTTTAATTCGTTCCGCAAGTTTTTTCTTCTTGCGAGTTTTTCGTTTTGCGAAGCACGGTTTCCCATAAGAATGCATTGAAAATCAATCAATGCGTTCCTATGGAAGCCGCCTTCAGACCAGGTCCGGGGACAGTCTGTCCCCCGACCTCTTCTGAAGGCTGGGGGGGGAGACAAGGGCTTTTCTTCCCACCCCCAGCATTTTAAAAAACCCCGGGACAGCGGAGACTTCTTCACTGTCCCGGGGCGATCTTAAAATGCTGGCGGGCGGCAGCGAAGGCTTCGCTGCTGCCCGCCAGCATTTTAAAAAACCCCGGGACAGCGGAGGACTTCTCCTTCAAAAGCCGTCCGGGATAGCGGAGAAATGCACTGCGTTTCTCCGCTATCCCGGGAAGGCAGGCAGGGGGGAGCAAAGACTTTTGCCCCCTGCCGGCCTTCAGAAGAGGTCCAGGTCCTCTTCTGAAGGCCGGCGGGGGGCAAAATTCTTTGCTCCCCCCCGCCTGCCTTCAAAAGCCGTCCGGGATAGCGGGAAGCGCTTCCCTGCTATCCCGGACCGCTTTTAAAATGCTGGCGGTGGGGAGCAAAGCCTTTCGGCCCCCGCCAGCCTTCCTGGACCTCTTCTGAAGGCCGGAGGGGGGGAAAGGCTTTGCTCCCCACCGCCAGCATTTAAAAGAGGTCCCTGGAGATTTCCCTATGGGCTTTCTTCTTGCGAAGCAAGCCCATAGGGAAATTCGTCTTGCAAAGCACCTCCAAAACGGAAAACCCTTTCGTCTTGCGGGTTTCCCGTCTTGCGAGGCATTCGTCTTGCGGGGCACCACTGTATCTTATCCAGACATTTTATGATGATCAGAGGCAGATTTGGTCCAAACAATGCTTTCCTGACAATATGGTTTTTAAATGCTTTATGTGCTTTGACCTTATCATTCCACAAATATGCATGCCACCCAAATACATTAATGAAACCTTCTAAATCCAAAATGTCTGTGTTTTCAAGAAGCAGCCATTCTTTCAGCCAGCAAAAAGCTGCTGATTCATAATAAAGTTTAAGGTCTGGCAGGGCAAATCCACCTCTTTCCTTTGCATCCGTTAGTATTTTAAATTTTATTCTAGGCTTCTTGCCCTGCTAGACAAATCTAGAAATGTCTCTCTGCCACTTCTTGAAACAATCCATTTTATCCAAAATTTGCAATGTTTGAAACAAAAACAACATTCTAGGCAATACATTCATTTTTATCGCAGCAATACGGCCTAGCAATGAAAGCTTCAAATTTGACCAAATTTCTAAATCTTTTTTCACTTCCAACTTGGGTGACTTTGAAAGAGGATAGAAAAATTCAGGGAGGAGAAGGCTATCAATGCTTACCATGTTGGCGGCAGCAGGGCTGCTGAATAACTGTTGCTGGAGACCACAGGAGGGGAGAGGCCTCTGTGCTTGGGTTCTGTTGGCTACTGTAAGAACAGAATGCTGGACTCGCTGGGCCTTTGGCCAGATCCTGCAGGCTTTTCTTTTGTTCTTAAGAGAGGTTATAGAAACTTGATAGGAAAAAGAAGGGATTGTCTCCAACTAAGTTCTGCTTAGAGAAGACCCACAATGTGTCTACTCCTTTAGTTGTGTGCATTAATTTCTTACGACAGCTCTTCCAGGCTGGTTACCCCAAGAGAGACTGGGCAAAGCTCCCCTCGGCAAGAATTATGACCTAGTGGGGTGGCCAACATCCTAATCACTGACAGGATTCTAGTTTTTGAATCCATTACCCTCTGGTCTTTGGGGAAGGCTGCAACAAAATCGCCAACCTGCAGTGAAACATGAGCATCTTTGTGCTTGCAGATACATGTCTTGTTCTGTTCCCACCCGCTTGCCTCTCTCTGTGAATGAAGTGAATGGTTACTTTTCTCTCTGCCCAGGACCAGACTGGCCTCTCTCTTTGGACAGGATCAGACAGCTACAGAATCTGGAAATGTGCTCTTCCAATACATGTCACCCAAGCAGCCTAAAAAAGGTCAACTAGCTACCGGTAAGTAAACTGTTCACAATGCCTAGGAACATAAAACGAACCCTTGTGGACCATCTAGTCCAACCTTTGGTTCTCAAGCCCCACAGAATCAACTGGGTTGGTCAACTCCCGAGTAGTGCTGGGGAGAGACCCCTGACCTGGGGCCCCAGAAAGGTGCTGGTGGTCTGTAGTCACCACACTGGGGTAGATGGACCCAGTGGTTTGACGCCATACAAGGCAACTTCCTGTTCTTATATCATTTTGTGAGAAGGGCATTATATGAAGTATGGGAGAGAAGTAAAAAATCAGTAGTGACCAAAACACCATGGTGGCTGCCACCGATGGAATCTATGACAGTTCATAGGAAAAATATGAACAGTGATTGGTTAACATACAAGGATTTAGTAGAGGAAATAAGTAGCAACCCGAAAATAAAGGACCTAAGAGAACTGAAACAGAAGGGAATAACCTGGATGGAATATTATCAACTAAAAGCCGCCAAACTATTTTTGAATTGGGAAAGAAAGGAGGAGGATATCAAATAAATTACACTAAAATGGGAGAGGGACCTGGGACATATGATCAAACCCAGTATTTGGAATGAGTAATGGACCAAAAAATCATTGCTGGCTTCCTTATAAGGGAAAATCTTATTAAAATGTACTAAAGATGGTACTTGACCCCCGTAAAACTAGCAAAAATAAATAAATCATATAATAAGTGCAGAAGATGTAAAGAACAGTTAGGAACATACTACCATATGTGGTGGTCCTGTCTAGAGATATAAAGATTTTGGAATATGATTTATAAAGAGATTGATAAGAACTACATTTAGCAAGAATCCGGAAGAATTTTTACTAGGAATGGTTTCAGATAATATTCCCAAAAACCAAAACCAGGTTATTTATGTATGCAATGTCAGCAGCAAGGGTTATAGTGGCGAAACACTGGAAAGATAAAAATACACCCACTAAAGATGAATGGGGAGTCAAATTGGGCGAGTACTTGGAGCTCGTGAAGCTGATAGCTGCAATAAGAGATAAACCTAAAAAGATGGTGAAAGAAGAATGGGAATGTTTAAATAATTATCTAGGGGATAAGGGTACAACAATAAAGACCTGGTTATGTTTAGAATGATACCACATAGGGAAATGTTCTCTGATACCAAGATGAGGGATTCTATGGAATGCAGATAGGGAGAATTGACAAGAATAATGATCTGTTGTGATCTTGACGGAAGCGTACAATGGACGAGCCTTCTTGTGTTTTGGCTCATTCCCCCCCTTTCCCCCCACTTTTTTCTTTTCCCTCCTCCTCCTCCTCCTCCTCCTCCTCCTCCTCCTCCTCCTCCTTTCCTCTTTTTTCTTCTTCCCCATAATGGCTTATGTTCTATGCCATGTACTTTGATATTTTTTGTAGTTTTTTAGCTTTTTCCATTAGTATTATTTATAATTTTTCTTTTGTAATTGTGGTTTATATTTATCTGTATTTGTTTAAACCAAACTAAAAGTATTAAAAGAAAATAAGTCAACTTCCTGTTTTCCATAAATCTGAGCAACTGGCTCAGACAAGGTCGCTAAATTGGCCTGATGTTTGCAAGCAATGTTCTGTTTGCAACAGAGCACTTACCCTTCTCATGTGCTGCTCCAGCTGCAGGTCTGCCCACCCAGAAGCATCATCCTGCTGCTGCTGCTGCTGCACCCACTGCTGTGCCCGCTGCTGCTCCTGCGCCCTCTGCAGCAGTGCATTCAGTCTTCTTCGCTACAGCTGTTGATGCATATTTGTTGTGAGTACTACAGCAGAGGGGATGAGCTGCAGTGTGTTCTTGCTACCCAAATCCTGTGCTCACATCTTTTGCAATCATCTCTCCATCTTGCCTGGCTTGTTTGGAAAGAGGTGCAGCTGAATAGTAATAATTTATTTTTTATACCCCAGCCACTCTGGGCAGCTTCCAACCAAATGTTAAAAACAGTACAGCATCAGACATTAAAAACTTCCCTAAACAGGACCTTCTTCAGTTGTCTTTTAAAAGTAAAATAGTTGCTCATTGCCTTATTGCCTTGACATCTGCTGGGAGGGCGTTCCACAGGGCAGGTGCCACTACCGAGAAGGCCCTCTGCCTGGTTGCCTGTAACCTCACTTCTCACAGCGAGGGAACCGCCAGAAGGGCCTCGGGGCTGGACCTCAGTGTCTGGGCTGAACAATGGAGGTGGAGCAACAATGGGGGTTTCAATTGGGCCGAATGGGGCACCGCCTCCCCAACCTCAGCCTGCCCCCACCTGCCTGTTGTTGTTTTTTACTTCCAGCCAATCAGGCTGTGGATATCATTGACTCTGGCTCAATGTGCTGGCTCAATTGCCTTATGCCATACCAGTGAAAGCAGGTCCAGTAGGAAGGCGCCCCCTCATTCTGCCCTCAGCTGGCTCCCACCTGCCTGCCTTCTTACGTCCAACCGATCCAGAGGGCAGGACTGCCTGTCAGCTTCCTCTTCCCCCTCAGTCTCCATGCTGCCATGTAGAGCACAGCAGGGAGGAGGATTGGGACAGCCCTAGACTTAGCTGGCCCTTCTTGTTGTTGGCTCTGGTGCCACCTAGAGTTGGGCTCCCTGCATTCACCCCAATGAGGCACTAGCCAACACCGAACTGAAATGAGGATAGAGACCTCCTGGGATGGGGAGCTTGTGGGCTGATAAAATGTTGCTGGGCTGCTACCGCCCCCCACCCCCCACCATTGGCCAGATGGCCTGGGCTGATGGGAGTTAAACAACCCCTGGGAAGTCTTTGTAAAGAGCTGCTTAATATAACCCATGGGGTTGGCATGGTGGCAACAATTGTGGGAAGCTAAGAGGTGTTCTCTTCTCACTCCAGTAGCAATGGGAAATATGTGAAACATGGCAAGTATGGAGCAGCTGTAGTGGGCAGCAATGCAACCAAGGAGGTAAGAGGAGGAGGTGTGGTGTGGTGTCTTGAAGTAGCCTGGCCTTCTGTCATTCATCCTGCTGTCCTCCAGATGTTTGGGACTACAGCTGCTGTTGGTCCTAAACATATGGAGGATACCGGGTTGATGTAGCTTGGGCTAAGGAAATGCTTCCCTTTGTCTGAATCCTGGTTTCCTGATGATGTCTTACTCTGGAATTTGCTGTTTTGGCTCCTGTCTCTTTCTGCCCAATCAGCTCACAAGGGTTATAGCTCCCATTTTTCTTATTCTGACCTCACTTCTCTACAAAAGGTATTCTCAGCAGGGAAGGGGCTGTCACTCAGCAACACAGCATCCACTTTGCAGACAGAAGCTCCCAACTCCAATCGCTAGCTCCTCTGGGTAGGGCTGGGGACACTGCTGCCGGTCAGAGTAGGCAGTCCTGAGCTAGAGAGACCAGTGGCTTGATTCAGTCCAAAGCCCTGTTCTCTTATGTAACTAGAACCACGTGGACTAGAATCTTGACTAAAGAAGGGCCTAGGGGGTATTGTGTGCAGAGTGGATAGAGGGAGGTGAGACAGTAACTTTGTCGTGGCTTGAAAAATCAATAAACGTTCCCACCACACTCAAAAAAGGAAGGGGGTTTTCAGCAGCTTATGTTGGAAAAGGGATTCAGTTTTTACAGCCTCTGTCCTTTTCAGCCCAGTCAGCCAGCTCTTCAGTGGTTTGTTCTGCCCCACTTTGCTGTGAAAGGATTCACAGGTGTTTTACAATCAACAGATAAAATATGTCAGGAAACATATGCGTTTATTCCAGGAAGACTCTGGTATGATTGCCTTGTCCTTCTGCGCCATTGCAGGTGAGGGTGGTGGGGACAGGATAAAACACTGGGATGTCATTCTCGTTTAGCTAATTGGGCGGAAAAGGACAGATCTCACCCCTTGGTTTCTCCAGGTGTAGGGAGCCTTTGGTCCTCCAGATGTCCCTGAATGACAGCTCCCGTCATCCCTCTCCACTGGCCATGCTGGCAAGAGCCAATGGGTGTTGTAGCTCAGCACCAAAGGCTCCCCACGCCTGTTCCATTGTAACGAAGTCACTCCACATGTAACTAAGCCAGGCACCTGCAACCAAAGCAATTCCTACGATGAACACCTCTGATGTATTTGTATGTTAATGTGTCATTTGGGTGTTGAGGTGCTGTGGAAATGCTACCTGGTATAAGAAGAGTTCCAGGTGCTTTTGAAAACAGCCAGCTCCGTAGTTTTTGGTTCCTCACTTTTGCTCTTGTTTTCTTCTGTCCTTCTGTCTCTTGTGGAATCCAGTACAAAGTGCTTCTTTATATCAGCCAGCTGCAGCAGATTGCGACCGCCAGCATCCATGCCTGGTTTGTATTCACGGTAAGCTTTGACGTTAAGACCTGCAAGGACCATGGCATAGGCTGAAGCTAAGCAGAATTCTTTGGTGGTTGGAAATGCGCATTGCATATGAGGTCTCAGCTGTGGCCAATTAATTTCAGTGGGTCTGTTTTGAGTAGGGCTAATGCTTGTTGCAGGAGTGCCTGGCGTGCTCTGGTCCATGGGGTCACGAAGAGTCGGACACGACTAAACGACTAAACAACAACAACAATGCTTGTTGCAACCCATTAGATTTAAATGGTGTTAGAACCAAGGGGCCCCTCTGTGGATAAAATGCTTACATGGAGACAACAAAGTAAAGGAAATGACATTCTACCTACTGTAGCTTACATCCCTTGGGGTAGTCCTCCACCCCGAAATCCTATAGCATTTTTCCATTTCTAAACATGACACACTACATACGTTGATGTTTGTGTGTGTGTACTTAGAGTAGACTCACTGAAATTAATGCACCAAATTCATCATGTCCATCAATTTTCATGGGTCTGTTCTGAGTAGGGCTAACATTGGCACACAACCCAAAGTCTTTAGCAAGACTCATCAGGAAGAAAGTTGTTTGGAGCAGAGGCTGTCTGCTGCTCAGAATTCCACTTTCTCTTTTCTCTTTCCGCAGGTGCAGCCCAACAACTACTGTACATTTTATGATGATCAGAGGCAGAATTGGTCCATCATGTTTGAATCAGAAATGGCGGCTGTGGACTTCAGCAAGCAGGTGCCAGAGGCGTGCATTGCATTGTGGGGTGGGGGGTGACTGTCCTGCAGACACTGAATCAGTGTTCGTGGGAGGTCAGCTCTCTTGCATCAGTCACCAGATGCTTTCTCTGCCAACCACTAAGAAGCATCCAGGGAGGGCAAGAAATAATGGTGTAGCCAGTTGGGGCCTTTTCAGGCCCCTGGGGTCTTCAGCCAGTGCTGCGCTGGGCCAGATTGCATAGGTGCGGATGACAATGCAGGCTAATGACACAAAGGGCTTGGTTCTTCCTCCTTGCAGCTGTGCATTGCCAAGTATAACAGCAGCCAATCTCCTGACTCAGTGCTGTGCCAGGATCTTGTTCTTGGAGATGGCCAAGGTGTGGCGACTGGAGATGTCCTGGAGATCACTTTTACAGGCTGGCTGTTCCAGAACGGTAGTCTTGGGCAGGTGAGACCTGGCAGAGGGAGTGGCTGGGGATGATGGGGGTGGAAGTCTCTAGCAGCACTGCATGGTCACAGCTTTCCCACTCCTGGTTTATAGATTGCATACAGCCCTTTTCTCCCACAACCCCATCCTTTTGCCTTTCAATGACATTGCAAGGAAATGAAAAAGGAGAGGGACTTGCTGAGGCTCACCCAGCTTGCTTCACAGCTCAATGTGCATTTCAACCTGACCTTGCTCACTGAGGCTTTAATGAGCCCTAGCCAGATTGTTTCTATAGAAAAAAGGCTTTTCCATTGTGTTTGCATTGGTTGCTCTCCAGAGATGGGGCCTTGCCCAGCCTTGCCGCCCTTTCTCAACTGGGGATGCTGGGGAGGGAACCCAGGACCTTCTTCCTGGGAAGCACATGCTGCTAGGTCCTAAGCTACACCTGTCTCCAAAGTGTAGATTCTATTTCTCAACCTCATTTTACCCAATCTGCAACATGGGAGGCACCGCTAGGTAGGGGATTCAACATGGAAAGCTGGTCTAGGTTGGCATCGCCCACATTGACTGGCAGTAGCTCTCCAGGCTTCCAAGCAAAAGCCTTTCCCTGACCTTCCTTGGAGATGCCAGGCTTGAACCTGGAACCTTTTGCCTGCAAAACAGGTGCTGTGTCCCTGAGCTGTGCCCCGTCCTTCGATACTCATTGCTGTTGGCTCAGCAACTGGAGTAGCGGAACGTGAACCTATTATCTTCTGCATTAAAAGTAATTTCACCTCATTTACCTTCCACTTTTGTAACAGGTTTTCGACTCGAATGTAAATAAAGAGAAGCTGCTCCGTCTGAAGCTAGGCTCTGGCAAAGTCATCAAGGTAAGATGGCACTATCTTCCCACCGCAGTGCAAGGATTCTTTCTTCCACTTCCACATCTAAGCAGAGTTCAGCAGCCCGGGCTGTGTGGAAGGCTGAATAGCAGTGATGTTTTTTGAGCTCAAACCCTGATCAAATGGCTTCCTCAAGAACGGCAGGCAGGTAGCTGTCCCAGGTTGTCTACGCCTGCCATGATCTGCTGGAGTGGGAGGCCTGCTCTGTGGCCTGGATCAAAACAGTCCTGGACCTCCAATGTTGCCTCTTGCTGTCCTGGATGAGAGACGGAGGGGGGAGTGTGAGTGGGTGTCTAAGGTAGCCTATTGTACAAAGGGAAAAATTACATTCGTTGCCCCTCCCACTTTCCCCTCTAGCCCCGCCCACTCCTGGCATGCTCCTCCCCACCAAGAAGCTTGCCCCGGAGGGAATGTTTTTCATCCCTGCTTTCAACTACTTTCCTCAAGACTGCAAGAGAACTGTCAGTATTCCTGTGCCCTGCTCTCGACCAGCCTTTACCAAGCTGACAAACACACACACAGATCCTGTGGACTCCAACTCCCATCATCCCCAGCCAGTGCATGCTGATTGGAGTTGGAGTTCAAGGTATCTGGACGACATCAGGTTGGCGAAGGCTGTGTGGTTCTGGCACTTAGCGAAGGCGGTCACCCAAACTTGTTTTCTGCTTGGTTCTCCGTTTCTGGAACTTGAAGGGCTGGGAAGATGGAATGATCGGCATGAAGAGAGGAGGCAGGCGGTTCCTCCTTGTCCCGCCAGCATTGGCTTATGGGCCTTTGGCAGAAGCTGAACGCATTCCTCCAGACTCGACCCTGGCCTTTGAGGTGGAAGTCAAACGGGTGAGTATGTCTTCCTCCCAACGTGTTAGCAACCAAGAGAACCTCAGAAGGTTGTTGGGTGGTTGGTCTACTGCCTGGATAAAGTTCTACAAATGGAGGCAGTGGTTGCCTTGACCAGACTCCATGATGCCTCTTTTTTGCTCCCTTAGGTGAGGTTTGCAAGGAATGCACCACAATCAGAAAGCCCCGCTACAGACCCAGCCTGGCTGACTCCTCCTACTCCCGCTCCAAAGCCAGGGTGAGAAATAAATTGAGAGTGCTCTTAGCTTTTAAGCCTTCCATTCTCCCAGGTGTCCCATCCTAACTCTGCATAACCTCAGCTGCATAACTCAGGCCCCATCTGCACTGTACCACCTTGGGATCTACGGATGAAATCCTGTATATAAATTCAATAAATCATACGTTCCAAATAGTGCCATGCCGTTTTCAACAGCTGTGGCTTCTTCCAAAGAATCCTGAGGGCCACCTTGTCTCATAGACAACCTGGCAGGGGCCACATTCCAGGGCTGGGCTGGGGCTCCAGTGGACAGAGCAACAGATGCTGCTCCTGCCTTCTGTGCAGCCAGAAAATACACCATGTGGGGCTTCTTTCTGCACACACCTCTCCCTCTCCAGGGAAGCAAGGTGCACTGTCACCGTTCAAGGACACATTCCAGCCAGGCTCAAGCTCCCTTGGGGAGTTCATGAGGTGGGGTAGGTGCGGGGCTTGGCCGAGGCAGAGTCCCAAAGGCCAGTTGAGTATCCTACCCCTTAACAGACTCTGCCTACTATGCTCAGGTTTGTTAACTCCCTTCCTTCCATACTGCAGGGAGCCAGTTGTGCGTGCCAAATCAAGCTCTATTAGCAAACAGCTAGCGGTAAGTCGCCATTGGAGCCAAATCTGCCTATTTGATTGTATAGTTCCTGTTGAATGTGACCAAAGCAATGAGAAGTAACTTGGTCCTCCCATAGAGAGAGGGATCCTTATTGGTGAGCATTTTTTGAGAAACTCAAAACCTCCCACATAATAAAGGTACCGTATTTTTCGGTCTATAAGACGCCCCCTATTTTTTGGGACTTAGATTTAAGAAAATGGGGGGAAATGTATCCGTGCATAAGATCCCCCCTAATTTTTGACATTATTTTTAAGAGAAAAGGCCTAGTCTTATACACGGAAAAATACGGTGTGTCACAGGAAAAGCATATCATCAGTAACTATGAGTAATTAACATTTGATATTGTGCTTGCATAGACTTCTGAGATGGGTTTCTAAGTGTTTTTTTTTAAAAAAATGCAGTTTTAAAGTTCTTTCATTAATAGTTTTAGAGTGAAAATGTAGCAAGGAAATGGTGTGTTCATGAGGACCCCCCCCCTTTCTTTTTCCCTGGACAGAATCCTGATGTAACAAAAGTGAAACTGATTTCCTGTATGGCGAAGATGAGTCAGCCTATGCTACCTGTCCCCTTCATCACATCTGCACCCCAGCAAGGCTCAGCTGACAAGGAGGTAGAGGTGTGTTAGCTTCAATTCTCAGGTTCTTTTCAGTGGGGGTTGTGTGTGTTGGCTGTTGCTGAAATTCAGGTAGGTTGGCAGGATGAGACTGCTCATCCACCTAGCTCCCTACTGTCTACACTGACTGGCAGTGAAGGAGGGGAGGCCCTTTTTTTTAGTTAATTACAAACCTACCTGGTTCTCCAGAGTTTCAGACAGGGGGCATTCCCTGCCTACCGGGTATCAAACGTGGGGCCTTTTGCATGAAACTGAGGGTCTTGCCCTCCCCAGATCTAGGAGTCACCCCAAACTGGTTTTGGGGTGTGAATCTTAATTTGCGGGAAAGCCTTGTAAGGATCATCAATCATTTTATTTGTATGTCGCCTTTCCCAAGTTAAAACAATGCTCAAAGCGGATTACAACGTATTAAAAAAACCCATAGCTACAAATGTTCTGGCATGCCTCTCTCTCGTTAATGTGGGATTTGAAGCCTCCAGGGTCCCTTTCCACTTCCCAGGAGGGTTAATTGTGCATTGTCTTCTTCAGGAGCCGCATGCCATTCAAGAATTTTCAACCTTCTGTCTGAACGACTACCGTCCAATGGCCCCTCCTCAGTGGGCAATGCAAGGTAAAAAGTGTGTTCCCTTGTTGTGCCTTGGTGATGGTCATCAACTTTGGGTGGCTTCAAAAGAGGGTTAGGCAAGTTCATGGAGGAGAGGGCTGTCAGTGGCTGGAAACCGCAGGAGGGGAGAGGGCTCTTGCGCTCAGGTGCTGTTTGCAGGCTTCCCATGGGGGCACCAGCATCTTAAAAAGCAGAGACATCACCTTACCAACAAAGGTCCGTATAGCTAAAGCCATGGTTTTCCCAGTACTGATGTATGGAAGTGAGAGCGGAACCATCAAGAAGGCTGATTGCCGAAGAATTGATGCTTTTGAATTATGGTGCTGGGGGAGACTCTTGAGAGTCCCATGGGTTGCAAGAAGATCAAACGTATCCATTCTTAAGGAAACCAGCCCTGAGTGCTCACTGGAAGGACAGATCGTGAAGTTGAGGCTCCAGTACTTTGGCCACCTCATGAGAAGAGAAGACTCCCTGGAAAAGATCCTGATGTTGGGAAAGGTGGAGGGCACAAGGAGAAGGGGACAGCAGAGGACGAGATGGTTGGACAGTGTTCTCGAAGCTGCAAACATGAGCCTGACCAAACAGTGGGAGGCGGTGGAAGACAGGAGTGCCTGGCGTGCTCTGGTCCATGGGGTCATGAAGAGTCGGACATGACTTAAACGACTAAACAACAACAACATGGGGCACCTGGTTGGCCACTGTGAGAAGAGGGTGCCAGACTAGATGGGCCACTGGCCTGATCTGGCAGGGTTCTTCTTGAGTGCAGTGGCTCCACTCAGTAGAATTTAGTTGGACACAACCCAGAAGCCAGCATGATGATTGTGCATGGAAAGCAGAGGAAATCTGGATGTGTGGGGATGGGGGAGAAGTGTCCTTCATTTGCTGTAGATCAGCTTGAGCAGAGTCTGCATCTGTCGCTGACATTGTGTTTAGATGCTTGAATTGATCTGTTTGTGTGCTGACTCCTCTGGGCTCCTTTGGGTGGAAATAGAGACAAACATTTTGATGATGATGATGATGGACTGCTTGTATTGAGATGGGCAACGCTGATGCCTCTGCTTTCTTCCTAGCTCCTCATCCAGCTGTCTCGGGGCTCCAGGCGCCTGCTGCCCCCCAGCCACACCCACCCTTACAAGAACCCCTCAAAACTGTCAGGTAAGGAGTCCTTTGTAGGCAGGGAAAGGTTCTTTCATAGGCTGCCAGGTGAGCCACAACATCATGCTCTGTTCCCTGGTTTGCTCAAGACAGGGGCATGTGACTAGCAGGCTTGACTAAGTTTCCTCATCCTTTTCTGTCAGTGTCAGGTCTTCATTTGCAAAATAGGGAGGGTGCAGCATAACCATGTAGCCTTATTGGAGTTCACCGATTGGGTCTGCGTTGCTCCGGGACAGGAGGAAGGAAGTCAAATGACACCGAGGTTGGTTCAAAGAAAGGGTTTATTCTGCTCTCCGGATAGCAGAAGGCACTTGTGTGAATAGTCCCCAGCAAGTCCAAAGAAATGACAAGTTTCATGCAGTATATATATCCTCCATGCACCCTCTCCTTCCTTCCAACCACGTCAGCCTATGTATGCAGGTTGACATCACATATGTTCCTGCTCTGGTACTCTCAACCATAAAAGGATCTTCCTTCCTGTACTTCTGACCATAAAAGGGATCTTCCTCTTCCTACTCTTATCTGGGAAGAGGTAATCATCTAAGGGAACACGCTCTGGCATTGTTCCCGGACCTGGGTTTGTGTGTCAGAGTGTGTCCAGGATGTAAGATAAAGCACAGACGTGTCTTCTCTCTGTTCTGTTCTACTACTGGTACAGTGAAGGCCATAGTTGCCGTCACAACTGATAAAGAAGAGGGCTCTGAGCACTTGTCTATACAGCCGGGCTTTTGTTTATGCATTGAGCTCTGCTGGATGAGGCCAATGGCCTATCTCGCCCAGCATCCTGTTCAGATGGGGGCAGTGGCTACCTGGATGCCCCAGTGCAAAGTGCACAAACAGTGCCTGTGTGCAAGAGCTCCTTCCCCTCCTACAGTTTCCAGCAACTGGCATTCAGAAGCATTCCTTCTTCCAGCCAGTAGCTGTCAAGGCCAGTAGTCATCAATAGGCCCGATCCTCTTTTAAAGCTGTCCAACTGGTTGTCCATCATTGCCTTTTGCAGGAGAGGATCCCTTGCACTCCTTGGCCTTTGGGTCTTCTAGCCCTTGAGAGCAGGCTTAAGCAATCCTGCTGTTTTAATGGGGGACCTTGTTGCCGTCTGTTTGGTCAGTGTGACAAGTCACCTGACTCTCCTTTCCCTCCCCCACCTGTGTTCTCAGCCTTATGCAGGGATGCCATATGCTTACCCACAAGTGAGTGCCGCAGTTTCCCAGCTCCAGCCTGTTGGGTTGTGCCCAGCTCCTTTCCAAGGTATGTTCAAACTGTGCACTATGTAGCTTTGGGAGCTGCTTCCAAACATTAACTTTTTTAAAAAAGCAAACCCCTTTATTAACATTGTTGACAACCCAAAAGTCTGGTAGCAGGCTTGCCATATATGAAGAAAGCAAACAATAAATAATAAGAGGAAGAAATGGTGACTCACCAGTATTAATTAAGACACCCATATTTCCCAAACTGGTACGGATAGGGAATGTTGAGCATCTGCCTCTGTAGCCCAGGAAATGAAATCCTACCTGTTGTGCATTAACTCAGTGAAAGTTAGTAATCCCCCCATTCAGAGCATCACAGCCTACTGGATCAGGCCACAAGCAGGATTTGAGCACCTTTCCCTTCCTGTGCTTTTCAGCAGCTGGTGTTCAGAAGCATTTATTGCACCCAATTGTGAAGTCGGAACATGGACATCATGGCTAGTTGCCATCAATACTCCGTGAATTTGTCCAATCCTCTTTTGAAGCCATCCAAGTTGGTGGCCATCACTGCCTCCAGCAGAAGAGAGTTGCTCGGTTTAAGTCTGCACTGTGCAAAGAAGCATTTCCTTTTGCCTTATTCCAGCCCTTTAAAAGCTGGGAATAGGCAGCTAAGTTGCCTTAAAGCCCCCCACCCCAGAAGATTCACGGCTGCTTGTTAAGATGCTCAAGGACAACTCTGTTCTTTTCTCCCTGCCCTTTCTTATTGGTGTGACCCCTCTCTTCCTGCCCTGTCCACTTCTACAGTGGTACCTCGGGTTAAGTACTTAATTCGTTCCGGAGGGCCGTTCTTAACCTGAAACTGTTCTTAACCTGAAACACCACTTTACCTAATGGGGCCTCCCGCTGCTGCTGCTGCTGCTGCGCGGTTTCAGTTCTCATCCTGAAGCAAAGTTCTTAACCCGAGGTACTATTTCTGGGTTAGCGGAGTCTGTAACCTGAAGCGTACGTAACCCAAGGTACCACTGTATTTGCTTCTGCTGGCAGTCTCATTTTGAAACAACAATAACAAACACAACCTTGCCAAGTTTTCTTTCCTGTCACAGCAGCTGGAGACATTGGTACATTCCTGCTGACAGAGACCCGGCAGCAGAACACAGAGATCCGCCTGGCCGTTGGGAAGGTGGCTGACAAGATGGACCAGCTGTCAGTCAAGGTAATACAGAACTTTCAGGATAGGAAGCTGCTTAAGAACTGCCTTGCTAGCACTTTCCAGAAACAATAGGAAGGTGTTTTTCTTGCAACAGGCTTTTCCAGTGGGCTGAAAAGCTCCCTCCCCTGAGGTGTTGGTTTTGTATTGTTGATTATTTTATTTCATAAAAAAACTCAAAGCACTTTACAAGAAGAATAAAACAGTAGAATTATTAGTAAAAACAATTTACATATTCAAAAAATTAAAACCAGCCATAAACTAGAAACCTATCAGCATTCTAGAGATCTAAAGAAGCAGGTGCCGAAAAGGGTACAGGCAGTTCCCCATTTACACGGGGTTTGCGTTCTGAGGCACTGTGCATGTCAGCCTGCCCCGCACCCCTGCAGGGCCAAAACTGGTGCGCCCACAGATGGGGAGTTGCCTGTACAGTGAAGGTGCCTGCCTGATATTGATTGTTGTTCAACTGTTTTCAGGTTTTTAATCTCTGATGGGGGGAGAGGTTTGGGACGAGGGAAGTTGCTTCAGCTAGGTGGTGGAGCACCTTTTTGCATGCAGAAGGTTCCATGTTAGCTCCCTGACGTCTCCAGGAAGGACTGGGCGACACCCCAGTCTGAAAACCCAGGGAGATGCTGCCCGCCAGTGTTGACAGCACTGAGCTAGATGGACCCAGTGGTCTGATACTGAGCCAGGTTCCTGCGCTCCCAGCAGTTTCTCTCCTTGGCAAACAAGTGAGCAGCTCAAAGGGCCCAGGCCTGATCTGGCTTTTTCTCTCCCGTGTGCTGATGCTTCAAGCTGCATCTCCTTTTTGTTTTTCCTTTCTCTCCCCACATCCCTTGCAGCTGGAGGAACTACGGAAGCAAAACTCTGGCCCCGGTTTGCTGCCAGGCGTCTCTTCTGTTACCATGGAAACCTCTATGATCATGAGTAACATCCAGCGTATCCTGCAGGTAAAGAGCTTGTCTACAGTGGTGCCTCGCAAGACGAAATTAATCCGTTCCGCGAATCTCTTCGTCTTGCGCTTTTTTCGTCTTGCGAACCACGGCTATTAGCGGCTTAGCAGCTATTAGCGGCTTAGCGGCTATTAACGGCTTACCGGCTTAGCAGCTATTAACAGCTTAGCGGCTTTAAGAAAAAGGAAACAAACTCGCAAGACGTTTCGTCTTGCGAAGCAAGCCCATGGGGAAATTCGTCTTGCGGAACGACTCAAAAAACGGAAAACCCTTTCGTCTAGCGAGTTTTTCATCTTGCAAGGCATTCGTCTTCCGGGGCACCACTGTACTTGAGAGCATGAGGACTAGAACCTTGCTTTTACCTTCAGGTGAAGGGTCACAGCTAAGCGGCAGAGCATGTGATTCGCAGGCAACAGGTCCCGGGTACAGTCCCCAGTGGTGTCTCCTGGCAGGGCTGAGAGAGACCCCGTGCCTGAAACCCTGAAGGAGACGCTGCCAGTCAGTGGGGAGCCTTGGGCACAGATGCTGCCCTGTCCTTCCCTGTTCCTGCTCTGCACCTTCCTTGAGTTCTTTTGGCCAGCTGGAAGTGTCTTTGTTGCTAGCCTGGATGTGGAGCAATCGGTGTAGAGACTTCTAGTCTCCTGTATTATAGCCACATCGGTTGCCCCACCCACTTTTGTCCCTAGCCCCGCCCACACCTGGACAGTTGATCCAGAGGCAAGGCAGCCTTTGGACTGGCAGAGGTTCTTTGCCCCTGTTGTAGGCTGCACTGAGCTGGATACATGCAACTATCTGGCTTGGGCTAAGGGAGCTTCCTCTGTTCCAGTTCATCTAAGGCTGCACTAGCAATTGGGCTTTTAGTATTGCAGCTCCAGACATCCAGAAATCAGACCAGGGCCTAGAGTGATGCTGTTCAGATGCCTCTTGAAAGCATGCTTGCTTTGGAGGGCTTTCCATCCTGAGATGTCAGTTATGCAGATCAAGTTTTATATCTGCTGAAATGGTGTTGTTTTTTAAAGTTGAGTAGAATAGATGGGCTTATTGTATCAGAGTTTGTGAAACTGATTTTATTCATTCTCAGAGCTTGGATTTCTGTGCTGTATTTTGCTTTTACCATGTATCTTGATTCCATGGCTTCATGCAGTACAGCTGTCTCGCAATTTGCTTACGAAATAAAGTTTACCTAAGAGGCTTGCTAAAGGGGAGCAGCTCCAAACTGCCCATGTTCTGTCCATGACCATGGCGGAAGACCACAATGATTTCTCTCCTCAAATCTGGGTCCCCGAGAGAGGTTGGGGAAGAGATTGTGGCTGGAGATTGTGAGAGTTGTAGAGGCCAGGACTGGCTCTGACACATTCCGTTTTGCTCTTTGTGCCACAGGAAAATGAGAGGTTGAAGCAGGAGATCGTTGAGAAGAGCGGCCGCATTGAGGAGCAGAACAAGAAGATTGGTGAACTGATTGACCGCAACCAACGGTGAGGGAGACTCTTGCTCACTTTTAATGCTCTATGAGAAACAGCTGGTATTTCTGGCTGAAGCCTAAAGCTCAGGGGGCCTGGCTCAATCCCCAGGCACCCCAAGGCTGCTGCCAGTCAAAGTGGACAGTACTGGGCTGGATGGACAAATGGAGGAATACAGGAATATAGCCAGTGTGGGGTAGCAGTTAAGAGGGTCTGTCAGAGTAAGATCTGGGAGACCAGGGTTCCAATCCCCACTCTGCCTTGAAGGTGACCTTGGGCCAGTCACACACTCTCAGCCTAAGCTGCCTCACAGGGTTGTGAAGATAAAAAAGGGAGGAAAACTATATACCAGTATTTGAGCTCCTTGGAGGAAAGATGGAACATAAAATAAGAACTATTATGATTCTGATATAAAGGATAGAAGCTCTCCTAGGGTGGCTTTTGAAAAGTGAGATCTACATATGATACTGCCTTGATTTCTTTTTTTACATGAGAGGATAAAAGGTAAAGGTAAAGGTACCCCTGCCCGTACGGGCCAGTCTTGACAGACTCTGGGGTTGTGCACCCATCTCACTTAAGAGGCCAGGGGCCAGCGCTGTCCGGAGACACTTCCGGGTCACGTGGCCAGCGTGACAAAGCTGCATCTGGCGAGCCAGCGCAGCACACGGAAACGCCATTTACCTTCCCGCCAGTAAGCGGTCCCTATTTCTCTACTTGCACCTGGGGGTGCTTTCGAACTGCTAGGTTGGCAGGCGCTGGGACCGAGCAACGGGAGCGCACCCTGCCGCGGGGATTCGAACCACCGACCTTTCGATCGGCAAGCCCTAGGCGCTGAGGCTTTTACCCACAGCGCCACCCGCATCCCCTACATGAGAGGATGGAAAGTATCAAATCATGCAAACATTCACGTGTGTAAAAAACAATTCTTCCCCCAGCTATGTGGAGCAGAGCAACCTGATATTTGAGCAGAGCAACAGCTCACTGCAGAGGACCATGAAGCACACCCAGGCAAGGGTCCTACATGCTGAACAGGAGAAGGTAAGCCCTGGCAGTGTGACAGCCACAACAGGAAGGCCAAGTGACTGAGGCTGTGGGGAGGGCAAGTGCTATCCCAGGAGTTCACAATCGCTAGTGCAGGTCACAATTCCCCTTTGCCTGCAGGCCAGAAAGAAGTTACGTTTCTGAGCAGCAGCAGCAACAACAAAATAGAACAAATGATTAGCTAGGTATACATGCAGGTATTCATAAGCTTCAGGTAATCCTTTGCAAAGCACCTCAGGTTGGCATGATGTGAGCAAGCACAGTGAACGTCCCCCTCACTTCGTCCTATGCAGCCAAGAAGAAGGGCGTGAGAGTTTCCACTTCTAGGTAACTGCTGCTTCCTCTGTTGTCTGGACTGAGAACAGCCATTAATGTTAAGTAGAATTAGTTTCTGAAGTTAGCTTATTGAAACAAACATTTGAAGTTGGTGTGTTTGATATTAACCATTGTTGATGTTAGCTGCAGCTCGTTGTCCCAGGCAACACAGCAAACCATGGCTGGGCATAAGTGTCCGGGTTCCTGGCCGCATGAGAGGAGGAGATGTAAGGGGAGAGCATGCAAGTCCAGGTTTGCTGTGGCCTGTTCTTGCTTGGGCGTCAGCGTGCAAACCCTGCCATTACGGGATCTTCCATGCATCTTACCCTGAGGCCGCTGGGATTTTGAGTGATATAATCAGTCCTTGGACCACAGAATAAGCAGAGTGCTCTTAACCCAGAATGCCATTGCCTCTTTTGATAAAACTTTCTCCCCTCTTGCTGTTCTTGCTTCTGGTGGTGTTAACTCTCCTCTCCTTGTTGCCGCTTTTCTCTCTAGGACATGCCGCCACTGGATCACTTGCAATTCCCAGGAACAGCATGCTGTCTACAACAGTGGAGGGAGACCCTAGCCCTTGTGGCTGTTGGCTGTGTATAGCTTTTCCTGCCCCATTGTTTTGTCTAATCCGCTGCTAAAGCCATCTAACTGTTTGGCCTTCATTTTATCTTGTGGGAGAGAGCTCTGCTGTGTGAAGATGTCCTTTCTTTTGTCTGTCCTGAATTTTCTGGGGAAATCTTTTCTGCTCTCCATTTTATGCACCTTTGTTGTGCATGCTTTCTCCTGAACTAACTGAAAAGCCCAAGGCTTCTGCCTCCCCTTGCTCCTCATAGCCTTGCCAGTAGACCAGTTCTTCAGGGTGTTTCCTGGGAGACTCATTCTTAGCATTTGGGAGCCTCCGAAAGCACAGCTCTTGCATCCTCCCAGGAAAGGTCTTGTGGCTCTCCTTCCCCATATGTTCTCCTGTCTCTTCTGCTCCTTTGCGTTGCAGGTCAAGATCAGCAAGAAGCTAGCGGAAGCCACAGCACAGATCTCCCAGCTCCAGCTGGAGCTGGCCCGTCATCAGAAGCAGGAGATAGATCTCCACTCCCAACTGAATGAAGCCCTGACAGAGTCGGAGAGGCAGAAAGCCCTGGTCAACCAACTGCAGGCACAGTTGGCAGGTAAGGGAAGCTGAGAGGAGGCGCTGAAATGGCAGAAGAGCACTATCCAAGCATATGCAGAGTCGTTTTATCATCCTAGGAAATTCTTTGGCTTGCTGGTAGGGAGCCTGTGGCCCTCCAAGTATTACTGGCCTTCACCTCTCATGAGCCCCAGCAAGCGTAGCCAGGGATGATGTGGTTGGAGTCCAGCAATCTCTGGAGGTCCTGCTTCTTAGGGCCTCCTGCAGTGTAGCTGTTAAAAACTCAGACACACAATCTCCAAAAAGACTCTTGACTTTAATCCCATCTGTTTAAAAAAGGCAAGCTTCTGATCTCTACAAACTTGATTGATTGTTTTTCTATGCTGTTTTTTGTTAAAATGAATCTCCAGCTTACAAACAATAAGTAACATTTACGTAATGTAACATAATAGAAAATGGGTTTGTGCAGATTCTGCACCTTCCTTGCCCTGCATGCAAGAGCAGAGCGGTGTAAGAGTGAGAAGAAACATGTGATATGTCTTTAAAGTTACACGGAGGCCCCATCCACACTATACAGCATTATCATGCCACTGCAGTCAGGCATGGCTTTCTCCCAAGGAATCCTGGGAAGTGTGGTTCGTTCCTGCTGCCAATACAGTGGTACCTCGAGTTACAGACACTTCAGGTTACAGACGCTTCAGATTACAGACTCCACTAACCCAGAAATAGTACCTCGGGTTAAGAATTTTGTTTCAGGATGAGAACAGAAATCGTGCTCCAGCTGCATGGCACTCATTAGGTAAAGTGGTACCTTAGGTTAAGTTTCAGGTTAAGAACGGACCTCCAGAACGAAATAAGTACTTAACCCGAGGTACCACTGTAGTTGTGTAGAAGTGGAGAGCCCTGCTTAAGCAGCCATTTCCAGCATAGTTTAACAGTCTGGGAATTGTAGCTGGGGGTTGTGGCAGACTGGGAAGTGTGGTTCATTCCAGCTGCCAATAGTTGTGTTGAAGTGGAGAGCCCTGCTTAAGCGGCCATTTCCAGCATAGTTTAACAGTCTGGGAATTGTAGCTGGGGGTGGTGGGAGACCGGGGTGTCCCACCACCTCTCAGCACCCTTAAGAGAATGTTCCCATTTCCCAGAATGTTTTGTGGGAAGCTGTGAGTGTTTGACGCATATAGTGCAGATAGCGCTGTACTTAGGCTTAGCTACAGCAGTGGATGGAAACAAGGGCATGCACTGTAACCGGCTCTGTGCCCCACCTCCATAGAACTTCATAAATCGTCTGACGACATGAAAAGCAGATACCAGGAGGAGAAGCTGAGTGGGAAGAATTTGGATGAGAAGGTGGCAGCCCTGGAAGAGGAGCTGGCTGATCTCCACGTTCAGAAGGAGAATCTGGAGAAGGTAGTGCCCAGGGGTGGCAAAAGTCATCACCCGAGGCCAGAAGTGGCTCCCTGGAAAACTCTCTCTGACCCTTAGGATTCTCCCAGTGCCACACCCCTCCCCTCCCCCCCCCAGCTTTGCACCCTTGACTGTTCTTTGCCTCCCTGGAAGATGCCCTTGAACTCTGATCATGCGTCTTCTTTCATTCTTAAAGGGAGGATTGAAAGGGACAAGTGGGGAAATTAACGTGTGTTGCTCCACTACCATCATCCCTCTTATATCATCTGGGTTATGACACTGCCCTTGAATCCTTGAGGCAAAGGCTTTGGGACATCTCACATAGGGACCTGCGATCCCGATCTTATGTAATTTGTAGCCTGGTCGCAGCTGGAATCCCATACGGGTATGACTATCAAATATCCTCATACCTTAGGAATTTGTCTGTACCTACCTATTGGCGTTTATTTACCAAAGCCATACTAAATGTATTTCCCTTGGAAGTTCTAAATGACAGGCTGAGAGGCATCCTCTATCAGAATAGGCTTTGTTTATGTTCTCAGGACATCGATTGCATGAACAAGCAAGGGACCAACTGATCAATCCCCTACTGGCAAATTTTCCAGGAAAATCTGAAGCCTCCCATATTAAATACCTTTTGGAAGACAGGTCAAATGATATTACACTGGCCGTGGCAAAGTTTCTTTCGGAGGTTGTAAGAAACAAAGATCATTATGCCCTAGATAAAACAAAATGGACTGCCTTGGTTTCTTCCATCTGTCTGTCTGGTTGTTTTAACTGTATCTAGTTTAGAAATTGTTTTGTGGATCTTTGGACCACAATAGATAGATAGATAGATGATAGATAGATATCATTATGACACCACAGCCTACACTGTGCCTCATTTCCAAAGGAAACACAGACTAAGTGTCTAGACCCATGGAATCTTGCACCAGTCAGAGACTGGGGTGGCATGTAGCCCCATATTACTAATCATGGGAGCAGCAAAGAGGGTGAAGCCCAGCTCTCTAGAAATAACAGGTTGTATCTAAGGTACTACAAAGTGAAAGTCACTTAGCTGTGCCTGTGTGGCTGAGTAGGGATTCAAACCCTGGTCTCCTGAGTCCTGGTTAGAGACCAACCATTACACAGTACTTTCATCAGGGGCTGCAGCCTTTTTTGTGGCAAATAATCCCCCCTCCCCTTTACTTGTTCCAGACAATAACTCTGCAGCTGCTGGAGAGTCAGGAGGAGCAAAGGGGGAGCAGCAGCACCGAGGAGGAAGGACCTGCGGAAAGGAAGCAGCCAAGTGCCGCACCCCTTTATGGGGATCCCCACAGCAACTCTCTCCGAGAACCAGCACCAGTGGCATCCCCCGCTCCTTTGGCTAATCTGAAGGAAAGCTCAAGCAGTCCTCCATCCACCGCTCTCGAAGGAGCCCAAGACAGTCTGCTTTTTGCAGCTCCTGAGGCTCATTCTTTGGAAGCACCGGTTGAACAAACTTGTGCAGCCTCTGCTCAAACTGCAAGGCCGCCTCTCAGGCTCTCCGCCAGTATTGAGAAGGAGAGGCCAAGCACTCAGGGTGAAATGGACACAATAGAAATAATTTTGAAATAATTTGATTTTTTTTTACTTGCATTTTCATTCTTTGGGTCTTTGGCTAATGTTTTCTCATTTGCTTCTATTTCCTTTCTAATTTGATCGAATTTTTCCTCTCTAATTCTTTTTTGTATCGCATCATGTTGTATATAAAATCCTCTTATGAAAGCTTTGCTTGCATCCCATTTCACTCTGATGTATGTTTCTTGTGCCATATTTATTTGAAAAAAATCCTTCAGAAGTTCTTGTGCTTTGTTCATTATCTTTTCATTGTTTAAGATTTTTTCATTCATTCTCCATCTTCGGTTACGAATGGGATCTGTTCTGGAGCCTGGCCACATCCCAAAAACTTTGAAACTGGAGACGCCCTTCTGTGCATGCGCACAGCTTGATTGAGCACTTCTGTGCATGACCACACAGTGAAACCCGGAAGTATACACTGCCAGGTTTGCAACCCAAGGATTACGTTACCCAAAGGTAACATAACCTAAGGGCCAACTGTATTTTTCTGTTGTTTCTTAACTCCATCATAATTGAATTATGGTCTGTTATTGATTTAGGTTGTATTTCTACCTTTTTGATTTTCCAAATTAAATTGTTTGATATCCAAATTCCAGCTATTCTTCCTGCCTATTGCTTGGCCTCAGAATAATTTGTGTATTATTTTTTCATTTGGGTATCTATGTCTCCATGCGTCTTTTAAATTTAAAATTTAAATTTTCTGCCATTTGAAAAAATGAATATGGTAATCTCCCTTCCTTTGATTTTTCCCCTCTCTCTGTTCTAATTCTATTGAGGTAATGCCTGAGAACCTGAGATCCAGGCATACCCCTGTCACGCAAATATACTCTTTCACACTTACTCCCATCCCAGTACCAAGGAAAGTATTTACAGCTCCTTGGTCCCTGAGTCAAATCAAATACACCCCTCTGTCTTGTCCGGCTTCATCCCACTATAGGATGGATAGGCATTGTGACTGAGGTGGTTGGATATCACTGGCCATGACTCCTTGGGAAGGCCCTGCAGATGTGTCTGTACATCTCGGGGATTAGGTGGGCTCACTCACCCCTCCCCTTATACCTCACTTCCCTGGGTCCTAAATGCCATTGGAACGGAGAAGATTGATACAATGAGTGATTTCCGATGAATTTCTAAAGTTTTCCCATTGAGCCAGTGCATAAATACATTTATCAGTGAATCGCTCCCAACCCCTTCTTTCCTGCTCCCAAGAGCTGGGACTCATGATTTTACAGCTTTTAAATGGAATTATGTATTGACAAGACACTGGCTTTTTCTGCCATCTATTAATTCCAACTCTGGGGAGTCCACCTCTCCCTCCCACCCACCCCCAACACTTTTTCTATGTCATGCTGGAGGAATATGTTGACCTGACTGATATTTTGGGAAATGGTTTGCCCATTTACCCTCTATACAATTGGAGAACTCTCCATTTATAATACTAAACTTGGCATGAGGGTTCCCAGGGTGGGGCAGCAGACCTTATTGCTGTTTGGATGTTGGGTGCCATTTTGAATCCTGGACAGTACCTGTGTGTGTTTTATTAGTGTGGGGGGTGTTAGGGGAGAGGTAGTACCTTTGGTGGAGGACACACCATGCTCCTTCGGTGGTAGTTTGTTCTCAGCGAGCCAGCCAGAAAGAAATCATATGGATTAAGTGAAGTTAACTCTTTATTAGAAGAAAAAAGGCCTGCTTGCTCCCTTCATCAGAGCAAGGAGTTAGACGTGCTCTTGTGAGTGAGTCAAGTCTGAGGCCTTCTTCTGACATTAGAGCTGCTGAGGGATAAAAATAATTACGCTCTCCACAGTCCCAAACATGGTTAGAAGCCTACAGCTTGCTTTAGTTCTGCACTTGCCGGGTGTGAACAGAGAGCCAAAACAAACCTCTGTCTTACCTTTCTGGCTCTGAGCTGGAGGAAGATGATGCAGGTGCAGAGACAGGGAAAGATATCACACCCTTGTCCTTCATCTTACTCCATCTTCCAGTGGTGCAGCAGGCTCTTTGTAGCAAGGGCATGTTCTGGTGACCACAAATTTTGAATTGGCTACCCAGGTTACAGAAGCTTTACAAGCTCGTTATAAGACATTGTAGATAAATCAGCAATGCTTCACTGATTCCTGGAACTTTCTTGAAATGTAGGCTTCAGCTGCAAACATTACTGGAGCAGTGTGTGGGAATGAAAGGCACACACCACTTGTTCAGTGCAAGAATTAACCTCAAGAAATGATCCCAGAGTTGGATTATTTTCTACGACATGTCATGGGTGTTTAGAGTAAGATGCATCACCAAACCTCTTAAATCTGACATTATTTTTGCATTCAGGTACCTCAAAGCGACTTACACAGTAAAGCAACTGAGGGTGTGAACACACCACATTGTCAAAGCACAAAATTCCCCCTTACCACAAAAACCTTTTAAATCCCACATTATTGGCTACAGCAGCTCAGTTTCCTCTTCAGCTATTTGTCCGATCTAACCAACATCTGTTAGGATTTGAATGAGTACAAACAATTTGAATCTGCTGTTTCTGCTAACAGTGATATCATCCCCACAAAAACGGGGAAAATTAAGAAAAACCACAGACCACTTTTTATGTATGAAACCACAGCAGCCAGGATTTTAATAGCAAGGAATTGGAAAGGTGTTGTTATAAATGCTATAACAGTGATATCATCCCCACAAAAACGGACTGGCAAGCAAAAATGATAGAAGATCTACAACTTGCCAGAACAACAGGGAGAATAAGAGGAAATTCAATACCAAAAGTTAATCAAGATCGGATAACATTTAAGGAAGATCTTAAAAATTAGTGGCGACGTTAATCTCCTGGCAGACCTAGAATGAATCTTGGAATATGGAGAATGTACATAGTAAAAGTTTATGGATATTAAACGAGAACGCTAAATAAGAAGAAAGAAATGTGTTTTGCCAGACCAAGTGTAAATAGCACAATGAGAAGAATCGGAAGGTAGCTACCTGCGCCTTCCTCGCCTTCTCCTCCTTCCCTCGATCTCCTCAGACGCGTCCCTTCTTCGCCCGGCGAGCGGAGGCGCCACCTCATTGGCCAGCCTCGAGCGAGCGTCACCCGCCCTCCCGCCTCCCTCTCCCAGAAACCAGCTTCCCATTGGTCCAGCCGTGTCCCCCTCCCTTTCCGTCAAACTTAAGAGTCCCGCCGCCAAACTCGCGGCAGCGGCAGCAACAGCTGATCGCTCGCTTCCCCGTGGACGCGTTTCTTCCCTCCGCGTGGAAGTTTGGCCCGTTTGGGGACCGCGAATGCCGCCGGCCGCTTTGGCTTGCTAGTTTCGCTTCCGCAGCCCCGCGCTTGCGCCATGGCAGAGAAGTTGCAGCCGCGCGCCTTGCGGCTCTCGCCTCCCGGCTTGGGCTTAGCCGAGGGGCGCGGGGAGCGAGGGGCCGTCAGGATGTCGGGGGACATGGATGAAGAAGACGAGGCCTTCCAGCTTCCGACGGGAGGGTGAGAATGCGGCGCCTCTCTGCGTGGGGGGAGATGCGGGGTGTGCGGGTGTCTTTGGGTCCGCGTGAGGGGGCGGGGCTGTGTGAGGGGACCATAGCTGTATGTGGGGCTGGGGCAGCATGTGGGTCTGGGACAGCATGTGGGACTGGGGTGGGTGTGAGGCTGGGACTGTATGTGGTTCTGGGGCTGCATGTCGTTCTGGGGCTGTATGTGGGGCTGGGGCAGCATGTGCGTCTGGGGGCTGCATGTGGGGCTGGGACTGTATGTGGGGGCTGGGGCAGCATGTGGGACTAGAGCTGTATGTGGGGCTGGGGCAGCATGTGGGTCTAGAGCTGCATGTGGGGCTGGGGCAGCATGTGGACTAGAGCTGTATGTGGGGCTGGGGCAGCATGTGGGACTAGAGCTGTATGTGGGGCTGGGGTGGGTGTGGTGCTGGGACTGCATGTGCTTCTGGGGCTGTATGTGGTTCTGGGGCTGTATGTGGGGCTGGGGCAGTACGTGGTTCTGGGGCTGCATGTGGGGCTGGGGCAGCATGTGGTACTAGAGCTGTATGTGGGGCTGGGGTGGGTGTGTGCAGGCTTGCGAAGGGTGATTCCTAGCATATGCAGAGAGCTTTGTCTGCAAATACGTGCTGTTAGGCGCTGAGAGAGAGGCGAAGTTCAGCAGAGCTAGGCGTCTTTGAGCCAGCAAGGTTCCTTATCTCTCTTTTTCCTTCTTTCTGTCTCTCTGCCTCACAGCGTTGCTTGTGAGGATGAGGACATGGATGAAGAAGACGAGGCCTTCCAGCTTCCGACGGGAGGGTGAGAATGCGGCGCCTCTCTGCGTGGGGGGAGATGCGGGGTGTGCGGGTGTCTTTGGGTCCGCGTGAGGGGGCGGGGCTGTGTGAGGGGACCATAGCTGTATGTGGGGTCCGGGCCTGCATGTGGGTCTGGGGCTGGATGTGGGGCTGGGACTGCATGTGGTTCTGGGGCTGCATGTCGTTCTGGGGCTGTATGTGGGGCTGGGGCAGCATGTGCGTCTGGGGCTGCATGTGGGGCTGGGACTGTATGTGGGGCTGGGGCAGCATGTGGGACTAGAGCTGTATGTGGGGCTGGGGCAGCATGTGGGACTAGAGCTGTATGTGGGGCTGGGGCAGCATGTGGGGTTGGGGCAGCATGTGGGGCTGGGTGGGTGTGGGGCTGGGACTGTATGTGGTTCTGGGGCTGCATGTCGTTCTGGGGCTGTATTTGGGGCTGGGGCTGTATGTGGGTCTGGGGCTGCATGTGGGGCTGGGACTGTATGTGGGGCTGGGGCAGCATGTGGACTAGAGCTGTATGTGGGGCTGGGGCAGCATGTGGGACTAGAGTTGTATGTGGGGCTGGGGCAGCATGTGGGACTAGAGCTGTATGTGGGGCTGGGGCAGCATGTGGGACTAGAGCTGTATGTGGGGTTGGGGAAGCATTTGGGACTAGAGTTGTATGTGGGGCTGGGGCAGCATGTGGGACTAGAGCTGTATGTGGGGCTGGGGCAGCATGTGGGTCTAGAGCTGCATGTGGGGCTGGGGCAGCATGTGGGACTAGAGCTGTATGTGGGACTGGGGTGGGTGTGGTGCTGGGACTGCATGTGCTTCTGGGGCTGTATGTGGGGCTGGGGCAGTATGTGGTTCTGGGCTGCATGTGGGACTAGAGCTATATGTGGGACTGGGGCTGTATGTGGGGCTGGGGTGGGTGTGGGTCTGGGACTGTATGTGGTTCTGGGGCTGTATGTGAGGCTGGGGCAGTACGTGGTTCTGGGGCTGCATGTGGGGCTGGGGCAGCATGTGGTACTAGAGCTGTATGTGGGGCTGGGGTGGGTGTGTGCAGGCTTGCGAAGGGTGATTCCTAGCATATGCAGAGAGCTTTGTCTGCAAATACGTGCTGTTAGGCGCTGAGAGAGAGGCGAAGTTCAGCAGAGCTAGGCGTCTTTGAGCCAGCAAGGTTCCTTATCTCTCTTTTTCCTTCTTTCTGTCTCTCTGCCTCACAGCGTTGCTTGTGAGGATGAGGACATGGATGAAGAAGACGAGGCCTTCCAGCTTCCGACGGGAGGGTGAGAATGCGGCGCCTCTCTGCGTGGGGGGAGATGCGGGGTGTGCGGGTGTCTTTGGGTCCGCGTGAGGGGGCGGGGCTGTGTGAGGGGACCATAGCTGTATGTGGGGCTGGTGCTGCATGTGGGTCTGGGGCAGCATGTGGGACTGGAGCTGTATGTGGGGCTGGGGCAGCATGTGGGACTAGAGCTGTATGTGGGGCTGAGGCCTGCATGTGGGGCTGGGGCAGCATGTGGGACTAGAGCTGTATGTGGGGTTGGGGCAGCATGTGGGACTAGAGCTGTATGTGGGGTTGGGGCAGCATCTGGGACTAGAGCTGTATGTGGGGCTGGGGCTGCATGTGGGGCAGCATGTGGGACTAGAGCTGTATGTGGTTCTGGGGCTGTATGTGGGGCTGGGGTGGGTGGGTGCAGGCTTGCGAAGGGTGATTCCGAACACATGCAGAGGGCTTTGTCTGCAAATAAGTGCTGTTAGGCGCTGAGAGAGAGACGCTAGGCGTCTTTGAAACCAGCAAGGTTCCCCCCCCTCTCTCTCTGTCTCTGTCTCTCTTTCTTTCTTCTTTCTTTCTTTCTTTCTTTCTTTCTTTCTTTCTTTCTTTCTTTCTCTCTCTCTTTCTCTGCCTCACAGCCTTGCTGGTGAGGACGAAATGGGCGGGGTTTCGTCCAGCTAAGGATGAAATGGGAGGCGCTGGGTTGCATCCGACTGAGCTACTCGTTGGTTATGCCCGCCCATTTCAGTGGACCAACTCTGAGCTGAAACCGAAGTGCCTTGTGTTTTCACTGTTTCTTACATGCTTAGCTTTGGAGCATGCAGTGGCTAAAAAGTTCGCCTCTCATGATGATTGGGTGCGGGAGGCAGGGACCCTGCTGTAGAAATAGTAACCTCCGCAACCCCAGACCCCTACACAACTGGTGATGGGAGTGCACTTGCGCTACAATCCAGAGGGCCAAACATACCCCACACCTTTTGTAGAGTGAGGGAATACATTATGTTTTAGTAGTGGTTTGGGACTTGGAAGTTCGGCCCACGGGTTAATGGGGAAAGGAGGATTATTCTTAAAAAGCAAGACTTATTGGGGGGTAGACTCCACTGAATTCAACTGAACTTCCCCATGAATGTACATAGGGTTGATTTGCATATAAATGCCTGTTGCCTGTGCGGTGCTGAAATATTTTCCCTTTTCCTAATTCTAGCTTTCTGTTTTCCACTTCTTCTGTGCTGATGTTACACTGAGAGAGAGTCACAAAGTGAGCTTCATCTCCAAGTGGGGGTCTGCACCCGGATCTCCCAGGTCACAAGTTGGCATTCTAACTCCTGCCCTAAAGTGGGTGCCAGTAACAGGGCTGAATGGAGGTGTTTTGTGGTCTTATATTTCTTTTACAAAAGGAAGCCTAAGAAAGATTTCTAGTGCCCTTTACACTGTGACATTTTAGGTGTTCAATATAAGGGCACTGCACTGTTGCTTTTGGCAACGCTGGCAGTGAGCAAAGGTCAGAGTGACATATAGCCATTGGGAGTTGTAGTTCAGAAATTTATGGAGAACTGCAGATGCCCCCCCCCCAATTTTCAAAATATAGTCCGGCCCCCCACAAGGTTTGGGGGACAATGGACTGCCCCCCTGCTTAAAAAGTTTGCTGACCCCTGATCTATGTCTTCCCAGAATGTCACTCTCCCCAGAAGGAGAAGCCAAGCTCACATCTCTGTTCCGCTCGCTTCTTTGGGAGCCCCTTAAACAAGCATGTTGCCACTTGTGGTTTTTCTCTAGCTGGAATCCTGTAAGAACTGCTTAGGGATGATACGGGATAGATTTTTGGACTTCCGGGTTAGCGCCACCGGCAATGGCGGATTTCCTCTGATCTGGAGGAAACCGCTCCGTGAAAATCAGGGTCTGGACCGCCACGGCGAGGCGGAGACCCATAAAAAACCACAGGCGGGAGAAGCCTGTGGACCTGGGATTCGGCTGGCACCTTTTGCGCCTCCCCTACTCGTGGGGAAACCCGGTTATGGGGATCTGGAGCGACGTGGGGTGAGCGGCGCGGTGCTTCGAATCGACTGCTCTTTTCACGGAGTGAAGCCGCATTGCTGTTGTCGGAGAGCGCTGACTTTTTTCCTGTGGACAATTGGCCTCTAAACAAGTACCCGTGAGTAGAACGGAAAATTTGGATTATTAAACTTCGTAATTTGGCACCGGAGCGGGAAGGTCTAAACAGGAAGTCCGCCTTCTGCTTTTGTAAATACAGTAGTGCCCCGCAAGACGAATGCCTCGCAAGACAAAAAACTCGCTAGACGAAAGGTTTTTTCGTCCGTGATTTGCCTCGCAAGACGAATTCCCCTATGGGCTTGCTTCGCAAAACGAAAACGTCTCACGACTTTGTTTCCTTTGTGTAAAAACCGTTAAAACCAAGGGTGCTTAGCTTGAGCGGCTGCAGTTGCGACTTGACTTCGAGGAGCAACTGTTAGCACGTGGTTTGGTAGCCTTTTCTCAGACTTTGCTCACTTTTGAAGATTTTCCAAAACTTTTCCAGAACTTTTCCAGAACTTCTCTTTCATCCATTTGGTAAGTTAAACTTTTAAAACTTTTTTGGGGGGTTTTGGATTTTGGGTTGGGGTGTTTGGGATTCAAGGACTTGGTGTTGGGAAGGGGTTTGCGATAATCTGGGGGCTTGTGGGCCTTTTTTGGGAATTTTTATGATTTTCTGTGACCACTGGGCCAGGTTGTTTTTTTTTTGAAAAATTTTCTGAGTTTGAATTTCTGAGTGCTGGCTGGCTAGGGGAACTGTTGGGGAGGTTTCTGCAGAAATCTGGGACCATGTGGGGTTTTTTGGGGAATTTTTATGATTTTCTGTGACCATTGGGCCAGGTTGTTTTTTTTTGAAAATTTTTCTGAGTTTGAATTTCTGAGTGCTGGCTGGCTGGGGGAACTGTTGGGGAGGTTTCTGCAGAAATCTGGGACCATGTGGGGTTTTTTGGGGAATTTTTATGATTTTCTGTGACCATTGGGCCAGGTTGTTGTTTTTTTTTGAAAATTTTTCTGAGTTTGAATTTCTGAGTGCTGGCTGGCTAGGGGAACTGTTGGGGAGGTTTCTGCAGAAATCTGGGACCATGTGGGGTTTTTTGGGGAATTTTTATGATTTTCTGTGACCATTGGGCCAGGTTGTTTTTTTTTTTTGAAAATTTTTCTGAGTTTGAATTTCTGAGTGCTGGCTGGCTGGGGGAACAGTTGGGGAGGTTTCTGCAGAAATCTGGGACCATGTGGGGTTTTTTTGGAATTTTTATGATTTTCTGTGACCACTAGGCATGGTTGTTTTTTTTCAAAAAAATTTTCTGAGTTTGAATTTCTGAGTGCTGGCTGGCTAGGGGAACAGTTGGGAGGTTTCTGCAGAAATCTGGGGGCTTGTGGGGTTTTTTTGGGGAATTTTTATGATTTTCTGTGACCATTGGGCCAGGTTGTTTTTTTTTTGAAAAATTTTTCTGAGTTTGAATTTCTGAGTGCTGGCCATGTTGTTATTTTTTGAAATTTTTTTTTGTCTGGGTGGGGAAGCAGTTGGGGAGGGGTTTGCAGCAGTTGGGGAGGGGCTGGGGGAGCAGTTGGGGAGGGGTTTGCAATTTCTGTGTTGTGGGTGGGTTGGTGCGTGTCTGTGGGAGCAGTTGAGGTTTTTGAAGACATTGGTGATTTTTGAAGCTTTTCCTAAACTTATTTTGCAGCCATTTGAGGTTTCTGAGGACTTCGGTGGTTGATTGTTGAAGCTTTTCCAGAACTTCTCTTTCATCCATTTGGTAAGCTAAACTTTTAAAACTTTTTTGGGGGTTTTTGGATTTTGGATTTGGGGTTGGGGTGCTTGGGATTCAAGGCCTTGGTTCTGGGTTTTAATTTCTGTGTGGTGGGTGGCTGGCTGCTTTTGTATTTTTTGGGTTTGAAGCACATCACTGATTTTTTTTTCTGTTTCTGAGTTTACGAAGGTAGGAGCTGTGCTGCCATGGGACCCAAGAAGACTGCTGCTGCGGTGGCCGGCGAGAGGAAGAAGGAGAAGGTGACGCTGGAAATGAAGAAGGGGATCATCTGGAAGCACGACGGCGGAATGCGTGTGACGGACATCGCCAGGGAGTACGGCAGGAACCCATTGACCATCGGGACCATCCTGAAGATGAGGGAGAAGATCCTGGCGACTGATGCAGCCAAGGGAGTCACCAGGATCGTGAAGAACCGCCCAGCTGTCCTGGAGGAGGTCGAGAAGTTGCTGCTCATCTGGATAGAAGAGAAGCAGCGTGCAGGGGACACAGTGTCTGAGGCCGTCGTTTGTGAGAAGGCCAAGGCCTTGCACACTGACCTCATCCGGGAACAGCCAGGAACCTCAGCCGAGCCAGAAGTCTTCAAGGCTAGCAGAGGTTGGTTTGACCGGTTCAAGACAAGATCTGGCATCCACAGCGTGGTCAGGCATGGAGAGGCTGCCAGTTCTGATGTTCCTGCGGCTGAAGACTTTGCAGCGGAGTTCCTGGAGCTTGTGAAGACGGAGGGCTACGTTCCGCAGCAGGTCTTCAACTGCGACGAGACCGGGCTGTTTTGGAAGAGGATGCCCAAAAGGACTTTCATCACTAAGGAGGAGTCCAGGCTGCCTGGCCACAAGCCCATGAAGGACCGCCTGACCCTGCTCTTCTGTGCCAACGCAAGCGGCGACCTGAAGATCAAGCCCCTGCTGGTGTACCACTCGGAGAACCCACGGGCCTTCAAGAGACACAAGATCGACAGCAAGGCTTGGGTCACACGTGTGCTGTTTGTGGACTGGGTCAATCTTGCTTTTGGCCCTGCTGTCAAGCAGTACCTGCTGGACAACGACCTGCCGCTGAAGGCTTTGCTTCTGATGGACAATGCTCCTGCCCATCCTAAAGGCCTTGAGGTAGACTTGTTGGAGGAGTTCAGCTTCATCAACATCATGTTCCTGCCGCCTAACACCACGCCACTGCTCCAGCCGATGGATCAGCAGGTCATCGCCAATTTCAAAAA